CGGCGCCAAAGTACCCTAGATCACCAAATCCGCTGAAAACTTGTGCCCAGGGGTAGTTCGACCTCCTGAACACGAATATCACATCCGCTCGGCCTGAAACCGCTCGGCGCCCGCGCCACAGGCGCCGGCGCCAAAATGCCCTAAATCACTGGCGCCTGTGGCGCGGGCGCCAGGCACTTTCAGGCCAAGTGGATGTGATATTCGTGTTTGAGGTCTATATGATATTCGAGGTCGAATTATAGATATATGTGATATTCGAGGTCGAACTACCCCTAAGACCCAAATTTTTGCCGAAACTGGGGTAGTAATAGTTTAATAGCGCCGATTTGTCTTATTCGCATACACGCCTGATTGCTTTACACAAAATTCATTGGCAGGCCTTTTCCGCTGCCAAAATACCACCGATATGGTGATTCCATTGAAAAGGCGTATGCTAGAAAAGCAGATAAAAAGGGGAGATTCATAACATCTTTTCCGACACAACCAGCAGAAAACTGCGCTCTTTCGAAAGTTCGCGTTGAAAGTCACCCATCAATTCGCGTTTAGTTCTCGTTGGCCGTGAGGAAGCTTACAGGGCAAGAACCAGTGGACTGTATCATTAGTCATGGAGAACACTAACAAAATTCTCGTCTTCAATGTTTTCATTAATCGTGGACACTTTCCTTTCCGCAGTGGAACACCCTGATGAGGTCTGCTGCTCAGTAAAAAAAACTGGGACTCACTGCGGTGCATTCATCCCTTTTTATGCCAACATAACAACTGCAAGCCCAAATGAGGTTGTTAAATACAACAGCTCAATGTCGGGGTGATTCTGCTACAAAAGTACACAAATGTATAATGGCGAAGGTTACGAATTTTGCGAATTCAAAAGAAGTTCCATTCAATTCAGCGCGCGAGTGTGCCGCGTGCAGCATTACGCAATTATTCGTGGCGCCGCGTTATAAGCCAACGCTGCTTTTATAAAGTACCCGTTTATCTATGGGTACTTCTAATTATGAAGTGAAGACAAACTCCCGCACTGACTCCGTCAATAGCCATATAATGTATTGCCACTTAAAGACACATGGTACGCTAACACACATTGAGGGTGTATGTGACTATCAGCCCCCCAGCTGTCGATGTGTCGTGGTTTCCCCGCCCGAAACTGCACGGGGTTAGAGTACAGGGCCGTGGGAAAGTCTAATTCGTCCATGCTCCGCCCAAAATGCAACTTGCGGCGCAGACTCCCTTTATGCTAACAGCCGTCCGCGCGGCGCGTGTCGCGCGCAGCTCTCTTGGCTTTTTGCCAAGTCCTGTAATTGCGCTCTGGAATACAAGTAAAACGCAATTTCCTGATGCGGATAACATTTTAGGTGCTGCAAAATAAGAACCGAAGATGATGACGACGGCCAGAACTCAAGAGCAACTGTGCTGCTTCTGCAACATCCCTCGAGGCCGCGCATTCCCACAAAACATGAAAATAAAAACGGTCTAAGCCCCACCTCGTTAGTTTGAAGTATTTCTATGGCTTTGGAGCCGAATTCGCGGAAGTTTACACGCGATTTCAATTTATTTGCGTCTCCTTGACTTTTTCATTTTTGTTTATTTACATCATTGTGTTTGTTCTTCATATTTCCATGGCCGTTTGTCATCTTCATCACCTTCAATTCGGACTTTGCTGCATGAGCAAGACCTCAAATGTTATTCGCATCAGGAAATTGCGTTTTGCTTGTGTTAAACTAAACGAACGGAAAACTTAGGCAGTTTTTTTTGTCATGTTCTGTGGGAATGCGCGGCCTCTGAGGGATGTTGCAGAGTATTTCCAAGGGCAATCAGAGGAACATTGGCAAAAGCCAAGAGAGCTGCGCGCGACACCGCGTCGCGCGACGCTGTTGGCATAAAGGTAGCGGAGCAATGGACAAGTCAACTTTCCCACGGCCCTGTACTCTAACCCCGTGCAGTTTCGGGCGGGGAAACCACGACACATCGACAGCTGGGGGGGGGCTGATAGTAACATACATCCTGCAATGTGTGGTGAGCCGTATAGCATGTGATCTTTAAATGGATGTTTTAGTCCCTGAAAAGAGCTATATGCGTTAGCTTCTTCTACAAAGTTTTAATTGATTACACCATGTGAGACGCCTGCTAGTCTGTCGCAGCCTTGTGAGACCTGTAGATTCTGTTAGCTATATAATAGAAGGCTCGCATCTATTACATAACTCTAACACGGGTCCTCAGACCCTCTGCAAGGGGAGGGGGTCAAATGATGGACGAAGGATCGAGCGAAAAGTTCTCCCAACTTTAAGCTGTACCCATTTTTGCGAATAACTTACAGTATGAATGGCACATATTGAATGAAATGTCGGCGTGATGGCGTTGAAAGTACTGTGGCGAGACATCATACGCGAAAAAGCTATCGTGGACAGAATCTTCCCCATTATCGAAATGGAATCGAGTCGCTGAACATGATCATTTTTATTGGAATTTTCAGGAAAACGGAATGATAAGGCTCAACGTGCTGGTTTGGCTCAACAACACAATCTGAATAGCACCTTTCTGCTGAACCTCTTGTGAGCAGCCATGACAACAGAGGTGATCAACATGTTCGCGGAGGCTGCTATAGCGAATGTCACTTTGCAGTATCGATGAACTTCTGGAAATTCAATCCTTCAAAAATGCCGACGACCTCAGTTAGACAAACTCACGATTGTTTCTGTTCAAATTATTATGGATGTTCTGAATGTGAAACGCTCACCAATGGAGTCTTTCCGAATAGACACAATGCTAAATATTGCCATTGAGAAAAATTCCACCGCCGACAACGTAAATACAAATTCATTCATGATATTATGTAGGAACGACAGTGAAACGAAATCGACTCGTATCAGCTCCCTAAAGAGTTGATTGGTAGGTTCCCTGTGTTTTGAATCTATCAACTCTTTCAAAAACACACTCGCCGGAAAATATTAAACATCGAACGATTAATTGACACTCTCACTCGATGACAATTTCATTGCACTATAACTGTGGCTACAAAAACTGTTTTGTTATGATAACTGCTGTTTAACGCCGCAGTACGCGTTCCGAATGTTATCACAAGAATGCTGAGTTGTGGGCAAAAGTCGTGCCCCAGGCGGGAGTCGAACCCGCACCTCACGCTTTCCGGAGCTGAAAGGTTTGGGCCCGCCGCTATCCGTTACGCCACCAGGCCGCTTTTACCACTCCAGCTTAACGGCTTTTATGCCGCAGCCTATCAGCACTCGCGCACGTGCTGACCGGCTGACCGGCTCACCAAGTTAAACGTGTGAGTGCTGATAGGCTACGGCATAAAAGCCGTTAAGCTGAGAGGGTAAAAGCGGCCCTGGTGGCGTAACGGATAGCGCACTCGCCCGGAAAGCGTGAGGTGCGGGTTCGACTCCCGCCTGGGGCACGACTTTTGCCCATAACTCAGCATTCTTGTGCTACAAAAATTGTTCTACTCATACTCACCTTCTGCAGTGCACAACAAAAAGCCTGAGGGCTACCGGCAAACACGCACATATTCTGAACATTACGTTGCCTGTGACATTCTGCTCGAACAAATTCAACACCGATGGCAGTCCGCCTTTCGGAAAAGGCACAGTCGACTGTAAATGAGTTTTTAAGCAGAAAAAACTATGCGATCATGAAAATGAGAGAGCTGTTCAGATTATAAATATTTGGGAGTACCAGGGAACGCAAAAGTAACATGTAAGCATTTACTGCGAAGACTCTTCTACAGAATGCAGATGCGTACAGGCAGCTTGTTGGAGACTACCGAACAGCGGGGCGGGGAGGTCGGATTTAGACCGCCAGAAGAGGGGGAGTTGTCGCATTTGGGAAAGGATCTGATTCTGAGGAAAAATTATTTGAAAGTTGATTTTTCTCCGGCTTCACGGACGTCGTAATTATTAGGGGGGGGGGGTGGACCAAATCCCAAAAAAAAGGGGGAGTCGTACGGACTCGAATTGACAACGTCCTGACCAATGAATGTGCCTTGTTTTGTTGATACTCGATACATGGTGTGGCATGTTAACTGTAGACCATTCTTGGAGCTTGCTCGCAAAAGGTGTATTAGGGCGCTTGTTCTGATTTGGGTTAACTACGATGTTGATTTCACAGGAGCAGCTGCAAGTCATTTCGTAATAGAGGAGCGGTCTTTTGAAAACAAACCCGGGTCGGCACTCCCTAAGACGTGTGAGACTCCGCTGTTCTCCGACGCTTCCAAAGAAGATTCCAGTAGCTTTACCACGCCCGTCTTGTCGGTCAGTGTGCAGAACTAACAACTGGGAATCAACGTTAACGTCGTTCGCGGGCGAGCGCCGTTTCGTCAAAACTACCGTTTGTGCGCCCACGCCGTTCGCGCGAACTACACTTTAGGCAAGATCCCCGTTCATGGTTGCGCGCTCGCGAACGGAACGCATAAACGCCCAAAATTCACAAAAGCCGTTTTTTCTGTTCTCTCACATTTTATTTTTCCCTTCTACAAGTTTTATCTAAGTTTCGGTAAATGAACTAGCTTTCTTGCCCTTTTTGATGTTCACTGGTACCGCACAAAGGGGATGTAGACTTTGATTCTTGTGAAAGTTCTTAGTTCCTCTTGTAAAAACCACTACTGCACTGTCGCCAAAAAATACACGAGAAATGTTTCTAAGTCTGCTTGTATATTGATTTATTTTTAATGAATTGTTTCATAATTGCCAGTGTAAAATAAAGAAAAAATCAAGTACAGACGCGAGAGGCGCGTGTACTCCCAAGAATGCCCGATTCGCCTAAAGAGGAAAGTTTTTGAGTATTCTTCCAGGTATACACGCCTCTTCTAATGTGTGGATATTATTTCTCTATTGTTTGATTATTATTTATATCCAATTGTTAGTGGAAGAAGAAAATTAATACAAAAAAAACAGCGAAATAGCGCGTGTACCGCAGGGAATACGTGATTCGCCGAAAGCGGTAGTTTTTTCGTGTACGGCCCCGCGAGCACACGCCGCCGCCGAACATGTTAAGTTGGATGATGCTTTTTGACCATGTCCCCACTATAGGTTTTAGGAAGGAATCACCCAATACCGTGTGCGCACCAGTAGAAGCCACCAACGTGGTCCTTCCAAGGTTCGTTTCTTAGGTAAGAGTGCGTAGTCTTTGGAACAGCTTAGACTGGAATGTTTGCGCAGATGGAGACGACTTCGTCCGCTTTCAGGAAACAGATAGGCCACCTTCTTGAATCGTAGCTCGGCTGACACCCAGTTTACATGACCCCATTTTTTTCCGTGAACTGTGGATGTACCTTACCTACGATGTATGAATTAGGCTAACACTGACTGCTTGTAATCGCACTTGAGCCCGTTGAAACAAAAGAAGCAACGTATGACTTATGGTGTTGGATAATCACGTTAAGTTGGTTTTTTTTAATATCGGTGTTTGGTTTTTCGTTTTTTTTCCTCCTCTCTAAAGTGTCACTTGTAACCTTGTTGCCCTTATGATGCCCCCCGCCCCCTTTTTCCTCTGCACGCTGCTCTGCTTGGTATTGCGCAATGGGAGTTGGCCCTTAGCGACGTTGGCGGACCCTACTATGATGGTATCCGGAGTTCGTGTTAAAGCTGGTCCGAACTTGCAGTGTGGCGGCCACTGTTTTCCCTTCCATTGTGTAAGGGTTATCGGAATATTAGTTGCAACATGTTCCTATTGTTTTAGCTGGCATTGTTTGTACCGATAATAAATCCAAATCAAAGTTTTCCCGAGTCCTTTTTTACATCCTTTATATCCTTTATACCCTTTTAACAAAAAAAGTGCAAGTCCTGAAAGAAGGTTCGTCGTCAACGAGACGAGAGCGCCAAGCAAGTCCGAGCCAAGCGGATGTTATACTCGTCTTGAGGAGGTCAAACTACGGGAGACAAATTTTTAGCCAATTCTGCCCCCAGAGAAATGAGTTGGTGAAAACTAGCTCGAGTCCAGAGAACGGGGGCAGTGAAAGCCCTAGTTCTCCGAAAGATTCGTATGTCGAAATTTGTATCCTTCTCTCTTGCGCTCCTTGGTACACTTTGATCGTTGTCATTCATTCATTCGAAAATTACTCTTTCAACGAAGAAAAATATGCCGCCCTACGTGCAATTCATGAAAAAATGGCTCTCTGTCAAAGGAATGAAGCGTTTACGATGAATCGCGTGAGCGGACTCACTTTGACAAGAGCATTTAAATACTTCTGCCAAACGAGGTTTTTAGATGACACCTTTATTGGCCTAACGTTTCGACCTTCTCGTCTTCTTCAGAGGCCTGAAAATGGCTCGAAGCTTTTAATTTGTTACCTACCCGACCAAACGCCCTTCCCACTCTAGCGTTTCCGACCTCGTTTCCTCGAACGCTTCCCAAAAACCCGGCAATGAAGGTGTCACCCAATCCTGTAGCGTACAAAGTTTCCAAGATGGTACGGGTGACGACATGTAGGGAGGATATTCTTCTCGAGTTGCTTGATGTAAGCGCAGCGCTCTTCACTCCGAGTTTTTGGAAAGGGTTCGGGAAACAAGGTCGGAAACGCTAGAGTGGGAGGGCGTTTGGTCGGGTAGGTAACAAATTAAAAGCTTCGAGCCATTTTCAGGCCTCTGAAGAAGACGAGAAGGTCGAAACGTTAGGCCAATAAAGGTGTCATCTAAAAACCTCGTTTGGCAGAAGTATTTAAATATTCGACATCATGCCGAGGTTTCAAGAAGGGACAACGTGGAGATTTTTTGACAAGAGCGTCGCTGCCCCATTGGTCCGTCAGTTGGTGACCGGGGGGGGGGAAAAGTCACCTCGAGCGAGTCACATATCAGCAAACTTTTCGCAGCCTAGACAGAGGACGTGGATACGAGTACCAGGGCGGAAGATGCCCAAGGTTCCTTTCCGAAATTAAGCCCGGGAGCTGGCTCCCGCCCTAACCTTCATGTACACAAAACATGAAGTCCACTCATCCAATCGCCAGCCTGACTGCAGAAGGTCTATGGAATTCACGTTACCTCCAAATAGCTGCGAAACTTCTTCTATGGGGTCACCTATGGACAGCTACCTGGAGACCAGCTTTCTTGATCTGGAAGACCTTCAACATCGAGCAGCCCGACAACGTCGCTACGATCTAGGACATCATCTTCACCGTAGTCGCCAAGGCACGGGCTGATGGTATGGACCTGGAATGGAGAGACCGATATTTCCTTCGCGGACCCCGGACTGAAAGGTGAGCGCTGGCAATACATCACCAACTCAACTCGAGAAGAATATCCTCCCCACATGTCGTCGCCCGTACCTTCTTGGAAACTGTACTGCTACAGGATTGGGTGACACCACATGGAATCGAAGGGCGTTGGAAAAACTCTCGCCTACTTGGAATGGAAGGGCGTTGAGTTCCTGAAGAAGATGGAATATCAAAGCGGGTCACTGACCTAAACCCCATCAATTACCTGGTTCGGGCGGAGTCAACAGGGTGGTCTACGGTGGCGGAGAAATCAATCACGACTCTACTGAATTAAGGCACTGGAATCACGGTCGCACTGGCAGAATGTCTCGAATGCGACTCCCTCTAGAAGGCTGTGGCGAAGTTATCGTATCATGTAGTATTTGATAAGCTGTTGAATATAGGTGGTAGAAATGTCCGATCAGAATTTAATAAAGTGCAACTTATAGCGCCTCAATAGTCAAGGAAGAAAAGTGACTTTTTCTTGCCCCCCTTCTGTATAATCCGCTAAGTATGTCTGTGTGTGTCTGTGTATGCGTGTCACGAAATTCATAGCGACCGTGCCAGTAGGCTGTGGGAAGTTAATTCCGAGCTATAGAGGCTGCGACGGGAGCATTATTGATGGGTGACGGGGAGTGATATCAGCTGATAATATCCGATAAGAGGCGTCCAAAGGGGATGGTCACCCAGTTCGTAGTGCGGGTCACAGCTGCAGTGGGACATTGGTTCCAAGGTATGATATAGGATGTGGTACAGGAACATTACTGGTGTGTGGCAAGGAGTGATATCAGCTGATAAGATCTGATAATAGGCGTCAGAAGGGGAGGGGTACGAGTCCATAGAGCGGGTCACAGCAGTAGTGGGACGTTATGGTATAGGCTATGGCACACGATTATTATTGCTGGGTGACAATAAATTGATAGCAGTTAGCAGTTGATAAGATTTGATAAGGAGAGTTGGAATGGGAAGGTCACATACTCATAACGCGGGACACAGCATCAGCTAGGCGTTGAAGAAAATGAGCGGGAGATGGGGACATCGAGGGCGGGTGACAGGAGGTGATAGCAGCTGACAGGGACTGATAAGGAACGTTTCCGTAACGAATAATAAGGGTGTATAGTACCCACTGATAACTATTCTTCAGCAAGCGGATTGCATGCGAATTGAAAAGAGAAATGTTATCGTTAGGCATTCCGGTGCAGGTAATGGAAACGGAATCTGTTCTTTCATTGAGCGATACACATTGTTATTGGCGCTGTATTGGCCGACTACACATTGTATCTATTCTAGAGATTTGTGTATTGTATGGGCGTTTTGGCGCGGAGCAAACCC